CCTTTAGGGCAATAGTTACAATGGCTAGGAATGCAAACACCAAACTTGATATGACATCTTTGTAGTGCTTGGGATGTGCATGGTTGAGCTTTCTTTCAAGAGGATTGAAGGAGGAAGGGAAATACCAGAATAGGTCCATGGAAAAGCGGGAGTTAATATTATGCCTTTTGCCTTTACAAAACCTGCCAGGACCCTGGTCTTTTCCCAGGCCAAAGCTGCCAGGACGTTGATCTTTTCCAGGCCATGATGTGTTGTAGCCTCGATTGGATAAGATTGTTTTTTAAAAAAATTTATTTGGGTTTTCACACACACAAAAATACAAATAAAACATCTTTTTTTGAAAATAGCATGGTCCCGGGTTATCATTTCTTCATACAGACACAAACTCCATTTCATGCTCATCTTTGTGAAATTGAAACACGAAGCCAAAAGAACTTCTTCCTTCTTGTGCATCTTCTTTCCATTTTTTAAAGTTCCGTTTTCAGTTCTTCTAAGAGTGATACCATTTTAAAAACTTTTAAACAACCACCCGGTTAATTTTAGTCATCTAGATGCAAAAACCAAAAATCACCAAATAATCCAAATAATCCAAGGCTGTTTCTACTTGCTTCTTTTTTTCACTTTCTCTTCCTGGGGTTCTATTATTTTGTTACCAAGTTTCAATTAAAATGTATCTTTGAGGAATCTTGTTAAAATTTCACTGTAAGTTCCTTTTAATTACAGTTCCATTCCTTAATTCCAGGCAGTCTCCTGCATTTTTCCAGATCCTGCCCTTTTGTTCTTTTTTTTTTCTCCTTTCCTACTTTTAAAAACTTTTAAATGTCCAGAAATCTTTATTATCCCTTTGACTTTTATTTTCAGCTTAGATGCCTATTAATGTCAAAGTGGATTTTTTTTCAATTTCTTGCTTAAGTCTCTTAGCAATCAGTATAAGGAAAGGAAGAAAAAAAACCTAATCCTTTCCCTTCTCTCTCTCCTTCACAGCTTCAAAATCTTCTTTGGGAACAATGTTGTTAAGTTTAAATTCCAGGGTACCTTATTTGTTGCTTTTGCTGTTTGACCCGGTCAACCAAAATTTTCTCTTCTTATCTTCCTCCTGCACATTCTTTTCCGGTCGAGTTCTTCTTTGTGGTGGCCATTTCTGACCACCGCTGCAACCACCTTTGGGAAAGGGAGTAATGGCCAGCTGGGGAGGAGAGATGCGGCTCTCCTCAACCCTGCAGGCAGTCTCCCCTCTCTTCACCACCTCTACGGGGTGGCTTAGCCCCCAAACCAGCTGAATGTGCAGGAGGAAGATAAGAAGAGAAAGTTCTGTAAAAAGAATAAAAGGGCAGGATCTGGAAAAATGGAGGAGACTCCCTGGAACTAAAAGAAATCTACAGTGAAACCTTAACAAGATTCCTAAAAGATACATTTTAACTGAAGCTTGGCAACAAAATAATAGAACCCCAGGAAGAGAAAGTGGAAGAAAGGAGCAAGAAGAAACAGCTTTGGATTATTTGGATTACTTGGTGATTTTTGGATTTTTGGCCATTACATTTAAATGACTAAAATCAATCGGGTGGTCGTTTAAAAGTGTTTAAAATGGCACCACTTTTAGAAGAACTGAAAATGGAACTTTAAAAATGGAAAGAAGATGAGCAAGAAGGGAGAGGTTCTTTTGGCTTCATATTTCAATTCTTAGAAATGGAGATCTGGAACTATGAGAAACAACAAGAAACGCTTGCAGAACAAGAAGATTGGGACAAAGAAGAAGCTATCTTTAATGATCAAGTAATTTTATGTGGGGGGGGGAAGGAAAGGGGGGAAAGAGAGTGAAAAGTTTAAGATTTGAAAAAACAACCAAAAAAGAAGAATAGTTTGAAAAATAAGTATAATATTAGAAAGCAACAGAAGAGGGGATTACAGAAGAGAGAATTAGAAGTAGAGAGGCAAGGGGGTAAAAAGGGGAGGGAGAAAAAGAGGGGGAAGAAGGAAAGGAAAAGAAGTTATAAAAGACAGAAACAAGATATAGAGAAACAGGGAGAAGGTATAAGGATTGAAAGTATAAGCCTGTTTAGAGAAAATGGGTGAAAATTTAATTGTAAAAGGGATTCTGCAAAGGTACATAAGATAGTATTGTTATATTATAAATAGAAATAATTTTAGAAAATATGACTAAAATGATGGATAAAATATTTATTGTAATGTAGTGGAATGTTTGTTAATGAATAAATAAAATAAAGTGAATGAGAGAATTAAATTAGGAAAGGATGGGAACATTTTAATTATTATTAATGATTTATAAAAATATAACTAAAGAGAAATATGGGGAAAAAAGAATTAGTTATGGAAAGTTTATAAATATTCACAAGGAAGTATGATATTCAATTGAAAAGAAATGTTAAAGATGTTAAGATTTTAATGCATATTAATGATAGAATTGAATTGGAATGGAATGAGTGCTTTATATATATATATATATATATATGAATATAATGTGTATATATAATGTGTAATATAATGTGTAAGTTGAAAAAATCAAAAGAGGGGAAAAACTATGTAGAAAATGTAAAACAGTAATAAGATATGGAATAGAATATAAAAATGAGCATGAAATTGAGTTTTGTGTCTGTATGAAGAAGTGATAACCTGGGACCATGCTATTTTCAAAAAAGATGTTTTATTTGTATTTTGTTTTTGTGAAAACCCAAATAAAATTTTCAAAAAAAAAAAAAAAAGAATCAGAGGGGGTGGTCCTTGCTCATCGCCTGAGCTCGGTCTCTCATGTTCACTGCTTTGCCTCTCTTGGTCATCCTGCCCTCCCCTTCCATCTTGCTGCTGGTTATCTTCTTCTCTTTCTTTCACCTTTCCCACCATTCAAACCAATGGTGAGATTCATTTGGTTTGCACCGGTTCGGTAGAACTGGTATCTGTTTGTTCAGTTTGGCAAACCAACTGAAGCCTCGCCCCTCCCCTCCCATCCTGGGCTCTCCTCACCACCCAGACACTCACCCAAGTTTACTAGAGCCACTTCGTGCCATGACATCACCCAAAGGGAGGGGAGCAGGAGCAGGGAAGCTCACTCACTCCATTTGTCTGTGCTGTTCAGCCTTTCCTTTTCCTTTTCGGCATCCAAGCCACAGAAGTACCCGCATGGGCCACCAGCAGCTGTACTGGAGCCACCCCAGGATGTTCGGGCAGGACTCACACTCCTGGTAGATCTCTGACCCCCCCTCCGACACCCTCTTTTTGGCTTCTGCTGGGGCCATCACTGATGCCGTCTGGTGCACACCAGCCTCAACAACCAAGCCTGGCAGCAGCAGGGAACACACAATTGCCCAGCAATGGGGAGGGAGAGGAAGAAGGGGACAGCTGCTAGCAGAGAGGGGAGAGTGAGAAGTTGGTCCTTCTGAGATGAGGGGAGCCAGGAAGCAACTGGGTCCAGCTCACCTGGCCTCTCTTCCTCTTGCAGCCGCATGTGCTCCAATCGGTATGGACTGACCTGCAAGTACAGCCTCAATATGTGTTGCCAGTGCTTCCACCAGTAAGCCAAGGACATTGGTTTCATTAAGGTGAAGGGGCAGACCGCTGTGTAGGCTCTTTTGCTTGCCCACTGCTGCCACTGGCTGACATCCCCTTCATTTCCCAGAGTTCCCTGGCAATGCCCATGACATCTCCTGCCTCTAACAGTCATGTGCAAGCAAATGAAGTGGTGGGGAGTGGTGAGGCAGGGCTGGGTGGGGCGAGAAGAGGCCAGGAGAGGCCAGAAGAGGCACCCCTCAATATGAGTGACATCAGGTTGGCCATGACCACCCAGTCACATGACCGCCCAGCCATGCCTACCCAGCCAGTTATTAGGGCAGAGAACCGGTTGTTAAATTATTTGAATCCCACCACTGATTAGAATTTTTATCAAAGTAGCATAATTTGAGTCTGATCCTTTGCGCCTCATGTGAGAACTTTGGGTTGATTTTTTCATTGATCCCTTAGTTTATTTTCTATAAGTTCTATAAGCTATAAGTTGAGACCAATTTGATGACACATAATCAATCAATCAGTCATGGCCTAGGTAGGGGAAAGGTAAGGGCAACATCATGGGAGTAGTGCAGAAAAAAATGCATTAGTAGGGCACGAGTATTTCATGATTAAATGCAAGGCCTGAAAAAAAGATTAAAGGTTTATTCTGATGAAATTTAAATCCTAAAGCCTTTAGTATATGTTTATTTATTTATTTATTTATTTGATTTGCCAATTGTTTACAAGATAATAAGTATAAGTGTATACA